AAAAAAAATAAAAAAAGAAATAGAAGAATAAAATAATAGTCGGTTTATTTGATACAATAGTATATATTATATAATATAAAACAAAAGCATTATTGCGGCCGTTATGTACAAAGAGCCTTTGTAACTGATATTTAATTTACAACTGAATAATAAAGACGTGATAATAATCACACCAAAAAATAAACGGTTGGTAAGATGTTTCTTCTTTCTGAAACAACAGCACGACGGGGATGCTATTCGAAACCTACGAACCATAAAGAGGATTTTTCGCAGACGACTGTCGCCTTAACCGCGCCACGATCATCCGCTTTTTTAAACCAAAATGAAACATCATGCTAAAATAGCTCGTTAATATTAGTAGTAACAGCGTAGTTTAATTAAATTCTCGGCGTACATCACCGATGCTATTTTATAAAAACTTGGAATGCCATGGAATGGATAGAAGAGATGCAAGTGCTTGTACTATGACCAGCCCTAGTGTATAGCTCGGCAAACAGATTAAAAAAAAAAAAAGTTATTTGATGACCAACAAAAGCGTCTCACGATCATGGTGAGGTATATATCCAGTGTTTTCTAACTAACTCAACTTTTTTCTGCTTTCATTTGAGCTTCGGTACTCTAAAGGTATCTTCTCACACTTCGCCGCACCAAGTGACACGCGCTTTATCTCACATAGGGAGTCGAATTACACAGCATCTAAACGCAAACAGTACAAGATTACAATGGTACATTCAAACTGGACACGATATGATGATAGTAATGTTCATTAACGATAATGGTATCCGTCGAACGTAATTCTAAGGCCCTTTGATACACGCGTTTTTCTTTACACGTTCCAACATCGTACAGAATTCAGAGTTCTTTGTAGAACTTTCACGGCAAATCAATGACTACATTACAGTATTAAATACGAAATTACATCATTTTTTTTTTCCTTTTCTTTATAATGTAAACCCTCGTTACTAATTGTACATTCTTCATGGTCTAACACTTTCTTCGCTCATTTTAACGATAAAAATTGAATAAAGTATGCGCATTTCCTTAACTATTCGACTGGTTATTCAATTTCAAAGGAAAATACTGTTTCCAGTTTATATTCACTAGATATATTTTTTGAAAAGTATAGCAGTCGGAATGTTGAATTAACACCGTCGATTCCCTTTATAAAATAAGATGATAAAAAATATTCTGAATTACAAATTACCAACTAGTTTGTATAAAATCAATGAGACGCGCTAGCTTATGCACGTTTTTTTTTCTCTAGAAGGAAGAATCAAAGTGTTAATCTTTTTACTACGATAAATATGCAACATCTACTTACGTATTGCGTACGAATTATACTAAATATTATTAACAAAGTTTGCGTATCTGTGACATACATCGTATTGAGTTAAAAAGAAAAAAAAAAAAAAA